GTGTCACAGCTCTACGTGAAAAATTCACAGAACAAGCAGCCAAGGAATAGTGAAAAAGGCTAWATTCTGGAACCATAAACAGGAACGTCTTTCCTTTGTTTTTATGKCTTTAATCCACTTTGGAGTGATTTTTTTCACTTGGCTGGACCTGAACGTCCCCTGTGTTAATGTTGGTACATGTAATATGATAATTCTCTACTGTGGAGATCATTAAAAGTCGTTGTCGGGTGAAATTTTTTTTTCGCTAACACTGTGTTGACCGTGAACCGGAAGTGTTGGGAGTGGCATCCAGTGCTGGACCGGATGTCTGTGGCATATAGGCTAATGTGAGTCATTCTATAAGATAAATCAACTTCAGACAACTTCACATTAATCAATAACTTGCATCCCTAATTTATACAGGAATTAAATTGATTTATATCTACTTATATTTATGTAGTTACATGTTTTAATGATTTGGCCGATTAATTGAAAAAATAATCAATAGATTAATCGATTTAAAAAATCGATAAGTTCCGTGACTGGGTGTTTATCTTTTCTTTTTTTTTTACATTTGCCTGGTCYAAACGTGAAAAAGCAGACAGCCATCATATTCTACAACAGTAATTACCAATCTAATGTTGACCACACCCACATTTTCTGGCTTTGTCCCAGAATTACACAGTTCAGGGACAAAATACACAAAGAGTACATAAGAGACATATAACAATATTGGGTTACACAATACCWAAGACCAGTCAGGTTTTCTATCTTGGTCTCTTGGACAATGCTGTACTTAATAATGATTGTTGTTTAAAATTCTGTTGGTGACAACCAAAAAGGTGATAACCAGGAAGTGGTGCCAATCTGAACCTCCTACCACAAAGGAATGGACACAGACTGTGAACTCTTTATTTGAGATGGAGTTGCTAACACACAGAATGAGGACACAGGAAGAGAAATGCCAGGACAAATGGGTAAAATGGACAAATGCATCGACGTTACAGGACTAATTTTGAATATAACTGGTCTCCCTGAGTTTTGTATTATCTAATTAAGACTTTCCCCCCAATGTAAAGATTTTTTTGGTTCTAAATTTTCTGTACTTTGAAAATGTCAACAAAAATAAAGTTATAAAAAAGTAATTACCAATCAAGGGCACTTGGGACTGTTATGGTGGGTGTTGGACWTTAATGTAACGTAATACTAGACTATGAAAAATGTTTCCAAGCCTTGTCCTTTAAGTGGTGATTATAGAGACTAAAAGAGCTGTTAGTTTTTATAAAAGAGGAAGTAAGTAACAYTCTTTGTCTGCATTTAATGTAAATCATTTTCTTCCCCATCAGGTCCAACCCAGAGCTGGTTGTCTCTTCTGAAGACGACTCAGACAGCGACGGCGGCGTTTCGTCCTCCCAGGTGGCAGCGTGTCTCCGGGATCGTTTCAAAGCAGTGCGCTCCTTCATCCTGTCCGACTCCACGCTGTACAACCAGATCCTGCAGTACCAGCCCCTGGTMCTGTCTCAGTTCCAGGCGCAGCTTAAGGCGGCGGGGATCCGCCTGGGCGCTGCCAAGCTGATGGACTACTTGGACTCTCAGTGCATCACCTTCACCACGGCCAAACCGGGCCACTCTGCAGCCAGCAGAGGCTGGCGAGGCAGGAAGACAAGTAAGAGGGGACGGGCAGGAAGTGGCAGGAACAATGCTGTGTAGGTTCAACTGCAACACGTTGTAATGTAGAAACTTTTAGGCCAAGAAACTGAATTGTAATTTATGTGTTAATGTAAATACGCTGTTAGGTTTTGTATTTTGAGACGTTTATCTGGTGCAGCGTGTGAGGTTACAAGGTTCATGTTCACCTATCTAAAAAAACATTAGCAATACAAAATGTTTGAAGAAAAAGACTTTTTCAAACTGATTCACCTGAAARCTAAATTAATTATAGAAAAAAAATACCACAACACGGGAAGTTTTTCAAAAACATTGTACTTCTTTTACGTTCAGTCAGCTGGGACGTACAAAAAGCCGAGAACACTCGATGAGAAGAATCTCACAACCTCTGACCTCCTCGTGTGTCATTCAAGTCGTGAGGAGTCCTTAAATGCAGCACAGCACCAAGTCAGTGCTGTGAGAGTTCAGTCAGGTCGTTGCTGCTGACTTGGTGTCGTCCACCAGCWGCAGCTGAAGCACACGGCCTGCAGTCAGAGCCTGACTTATTGTAGAGACGAGCCCGTCTCCAGTACCGCCACCAGGCTTCCTGCTGGTTATGACAGGTTGGCGAGGAAGCGCTGAGCCCACCACTCCTCCAGGTCTATAGGCACAAAGTCTGCAAACACAAGGAGAATGTGTCATTTCATCCTTTTACAATTATTTTGGTCACATGACTGAATAAAAACCTGAATTTGAAAAGAAAGTTGATCTGAGCCGTTAATATGGATGTACAGAGAAGTTAGCATGCCAACATGTTAGCATTTAGCATGAAGGCCATACTATAATGTGTTACTGTTTTCATTTAAAACCAGAGACATCAAGACAGTTTTCAGAAATTTGTGAATAAAATAGGGCTGCAACTAACGATTAATTCCTGTTTTTTTTTTTTGTGATGAATCAGAAAAAAAAAGCAAAACATTTTTTAATTATGACCTCTTTATTCCAAAATATTACATTTGGACTGACATAGCAAATCGCATAAAAAACCATGTTTTATATATAACAGATTAGTTGTAGCAGCCCTAAATGAAAACAAAAACAAAATTTGACAAAAAACAACCTTAAATTATAAAACAGACAAAAGTTGAAGGAATGAATGAATTTCCTGCTGTCCTTCATGTTGCAGTTACAGCCATCTGGGTGCGTTTTTACTAAACAAAACTTGAATTTCATTATAATTTGTTCACTAGTTTGAAATATTTAGCTAACAAACAAAGTTGACTCCAACTTGAAAAGATTTGGGGCAAAGACGGTGCAGACGAACTAACAACCAGACAAAAACACCACTGCTCATCTTCTGATGGTGTGAGAATAAATATAAACAATGTGAAAGTGATCACAAACTGCAGCAGCTCATGTGTGTGTGTGTGTGTACTTGTTTCTACTACAGAGTGAGGACCATTTGCACCATAGTTGCAAATTGATCAAAGTGAGGACCTCTTCAATGTCCTCACTTTGTTTGCAGCTCTGCTGTGCTTTACTGGTTAGGGTTAGAGCAGGGGTGGGCAATCCTGGTCCTCGAGGGTCACGTTTTACATGTTTCCTGCTCCAACACACCTGATTCAGTCACTGATTTACCTTCCAAGTTCTGCAGTATGGAGGACCAACACTGACATAATTATAAATAAAAGCAGAAATATATAAATGAACCACTAAATAAATAAAAACACTTAAAATGCACCAATTCAATTAAAAAAGAACTTCACCTCATGTTTTGTAATTTAATTCTCGTTTAATTGATATTTTTTAACACTTCAAATTTGACTGTTTTTTAAAAATATATATTTTTCAGTTTTACTTTTTACTTGTACATACATTTGTCTCTTAAATGTTTAAATTGAAATATTTTTATAG